GATCCTGCAGCGCCAGGGTCGCATTGGCCCGGGTTTGGGTGCAGGATCCTGCAGGATCCTGCAGGATCCTTCGCATTGACCCGGGTTTGGGTGCAGGATCTTGGAGGATTTTGCAGGCCTGATTGACCCGGGTCTGCATTGACCCGGGTCAGAAGATCCCCGACGGGCCCCGCCCACCGCCTGCCGATGCCCCCGAGGACGGCCCCCCCCGCGCTGTGGTTGTGGCTACATGCCCGCCGTCGGAGCCGCGGCCTTGGCAGCCGCTGTCGCCCTCGCCGCCTTCGTCGCCGCCGCCGTCGCCACCGCCGTCGTCGTCGCGGTCGTCGTGAGGCGTTCGAGTATTGCTCAGTTTCGCTTCGCAGACGTCGATGACCCCTGGACCTATTCTGTCCTGGGACGCATTCAGCCGCGGAAGCGAGGCCCCCACATAGGTCCAACGCCAAAGACGCTCGAGAGCCTAGATTATCCTTCCATCCTGCTCTCGTGGCGACGACGACGATGGCGACGGTCACGGCGACGGCGACGGCGAGGACGAGGACAAGGACGAGGACGAGGACGAAGACGACGACGATGACGACGGCGGCGGCGACGACGACGACGGTGACGACCGCGACGAAGACAGCGGCGGCGACGGCGGCGGCGGCTGAGGCGGCGACGGCGGCGAGGGCGACGGCGGCGAGGGCGACGGCGGCGAGGGCGACGGCGGCTGCGAAGGCCGTGGCGACGGCGAGGGTGCCTCCGCCCGCGGCGCCCCCACCCAGGCGCGCTCCGGCTGGGGCGGCGGCGGCGCCCAGCGCCCTCCGGCCAGGGCCACGCCAGGGCCGCCAGCCGCCGCGGTGCGGTCGAGGCACGTGCCCGCCGTCGCCGCCGCCGTCGCCGCCGCCGCCATCGCTGCCGCCGTCGTCGCTGCCGTCGCTGGCTCCGTCGCTGCCGCCGTCGTCGCCGCCGTCGTTGCCGCTGCGCCCGCCGCCGCCGCGGCCTTCGGCGCCGCGCCCCACGCCCAATTCGCCGTCGACGTCGTCGCCGCCGCCACCACGGTCTTCGCAGCCGCTGTCGCCCTGGCCAACGTCGCCGTCGTCGTTGTCACGTCGCCGTCGCCGCTGTCGCGAAATTGCCGCATAGACGTGTGCCCGAGAGCTTTGGTCACGATGTTTCACAACGCGATGCTTGGGCACGGCGGAAGCAGCGCCGAAGGCGACGACACACACAGCACCCGGCATGGGGGCGAGGGGGTAAGGCGGATGAGGTCAGTCTTGGGTGGCTGCTCCGCCTCCTCCGGTCAGCCGCGATTCTGGCCCCACGAAAGGGGGGGTGAACCATCCGATGTTGGTTTTTTTGTGAACACGGTGTCCCTGGAAGTCCCGACCTTCTCCCAGGGGTTGGCGTGTCATGTCGAGGGTTTGTTTGACGGTCCAGGGCCCAATCATTGATCATTGCCGATCGCGATCGACGATCGCTACCGTTTTCGTACAAAATTTTGTGATCGGCCGCGACCGACCGATCGCGGTCAGTCGCGATTGGTTGCGAACGATTTCGAACGGTCGCAAGCGGTCGCGATCGGTCTCGGATTTTTTCCACCCCTCTGACGTCGTCTGACGTTTGTCTGATGGCATCCTCTTCTTCCTCCCTCCCCATCATTTCCTGCTCTTCTTCCCAAAACGGTCACAGTCGGTCGCGCTCGCTCGCGGCCGGTCGCGGGGCGCTATCCAGGAAGGGCATGCTCGGACCCGTTCGGTTGCGGCAGTTCGGTTTCGGCGATGGGCCGGTCCGGGCTGGTTCAGTTTCGGCATGGTCGTTGAAGGCCCCTTTTCGGACATCTTAGGGCCCCTTCGGGCTGCGTACGGCCCTGTATGCCACCCGTACGGTTTTGTAGTGCCCCACAGGGCCTCCCAGGGCCCGCTAAACGCTAGGGCTCCCTACGGCCCCCTTTGGGGTCCTAGACTTCTTGGGGCACCGAGGGCCCTACAGAACCCCGTAGGCCCTCCAGGCCACGCCGTCGCCGTCGTCGTCGCCCTCGCCGTCCCGCAGGGCCCCTGGGTGCCCCTTGGGCCCTCTGACTCCCAGGGCATCTCGGGGCCCTTTCGAGCCCCCACGGGCTCTTTCGGGCCCCGCAGGGCCCTGCAGGGCCGCTCCCCTCGGGGGCCCTCTGGGCTAGTTCTCGGTTCCAACCGGTTCCATGTGACCTTCGCGAGAGGGCTTTGCGGCCGTCATTATTGCGGGTTCAGAACCGTCGGTTTCGGTCCTAGGCCTGTTGCCTTGAAGGGTACAGTTTACTGAAGGGAGGGTCCTCGCTCAGCAGTTCCGCCTCCGGCCTCACCGCCGCTGCCGCTCTCGGCCCTCGCCCACGGCGCCCTCGCCGCCGCTGCCGCCCGCCGCTCTCGCCGACGCCGCCCTTCGCCGCCGCCCTCGCCGCCCCTCGGCCCTCGCCGCCCCTCGCCCGCGCCCTCGCCGCCGCCTTCACCGCCGCGTCCGCCCCTCGGCCCTCGCCGCCCCTCGCCCGCGCCCTCGGCCCTCGCCGACGCCGCCCTTCGCCGCCGCCCTCGCCGCCGCCTTCGCCGCCCTCGGCCGCCGCCCGCCCTCTGCCGCCGCTCGCCGCCGCCCGCCGCCGCCCGCTGGCACGGAGCCGTGCGTCTCCCCCCCCACAGGAGGAGTCTGCCGAAGATAGTTCCATACCTGCCTGGGCCCGATTTTTTCCCCTGCCCTGGATATCCAAGGGCTCCCCCGAGGGCGCGAAGTTATTCGCGCTTCGCGCTTCGCGGTCCTCGTTCCTTCTCCCCCCCTCCTCCTCGTCCTCCTCTTCTCCCCCTTGGGGGGCGGCGCGAGAGCGCGAAGTTATTCGCGCTTCGCGCAGCGCGAAGCGCGAAGTTGGGAGCCCTAGCAAAGATAGTTCCACACCTGCCTGGGCCCGATTTTTTCTCCCTATCCTGGATCTCGGATGCGTATTGCGTGTTGGTTCTGGTGTCCTCCTTCCAGAATCCGCCTGTCGGAGGACATGCCCGACCTAACGCGGGCAGCCGAGGAATCTGCCAAAACTAGCCTGACGAAAGACCCAACCATGTGCAGGTGTGAATACCGCAGTTGGCACTACCAATTTCGGTGGGGCTCCCTATAGGGCCAAGAAACGTGTGAAGGGGATGGGTGTGCGGGACGCATGCGGGCGGCAGCACTGGGGCCTTCGGTGGAGCTCCCTATGGGGCCACGAAACGTGTGAGGGAGTTGACGAAATGGATGTGGCCGACGCGTGCGGGCGAGGGCACTGGGGCCTTCGGTGGAGCTCCCTATAGGGCCACGAAACGTGTAAGGGGTGTGCCGACATGGGTGTGGTTGACGCATGCGGGCGCAGGCACTGGGGCCTTCGGTGGAGCTCCCCATGGGGCCACGAAGCGTGCGAGGGGTGTGCCGAAATGGGTGTGGCTGACGCATGCGGGCGCGGGCACTGGGGCCTTCGGTGGAGCTCCCTATGGAGCCACGAAGCGTGTGAGGGGTGTGCCGAAATGGGTGTGGCTGACGCATGCGGGCGCGGGCACTGGGGCCTTCGGTGGAGCTCCCTATGGAGCCACGAAGCGTGTGAGGGGTGTGCCGAAATGGGTGTGGGTGGCGCATGCGGGCGCGGGCACTGGGGCCTTCGGTGGAGCTCCCTATGGAGCCACGAAACGTGTGAGGGGTGTGCCGAAATGGGTGTGGCTGACGCATGCGGGCGCGGGCACTGGGGCCTTCGGTGGAGCTCCCTATGGAGCCACGAAACGTGTGAGGGGTGTGCCGAAATGGGTGTGGGTGACGCATGCGGGCGCGGGCACTGGGGCCTTCGGTGGAGCTCCCTATGGAGCCACGAAACGTGTGAGGGGTGTGCCGAAATGGGTGTGGCTGACGCATGCGGGCGCGGGCACTGGGGCCTTCGGTGGAGCTCCCTATGGAGCCACGAAGCGTGTGAGGGGTGTGCCGAAATGGGTGTGGCTGACGCATGCGGGCGCGGGCACTGGGGCCTCGAGCCACGGGTGTGTGCCGATGCGGAACTGGGGCCTTCGGTGGAGCTCCCTATGGGTGTGAGGGGTGTGCCGAAATGCTGTTGCGGTGCATGAATGCTCCCTATGCGAAAATGGGTGCGTGTGAGGGGTGTGCCGAAATGGGTGTGGCTGACGCATGCGGGCGCGGGCACTGGGGCCTTCGGTGGAGCTCCCTATGGGGCCACGAAACGTGTGAGGGGTGTGCCGAAATGGGTGTGGCTGACGCATGCGGGCGCGGGCACTGGGGCCTTCGGTGGAGCTCCCTATGGAGCCACGAAACGTGTGAGGGGTGTGCCGAAATGGGTGTGGGTGACGCATGCGGGCGCGGGCACTGGGGCCTTCGGTGGAGCTCCCTATGGAGCCACGAAACGTGTGAGGGGTGTGCCGAAATGGGTGTGGGTGACGCATGCGGGCGCGGGCACTGGGGCCTTCGGTGGAGCTCCCTATGGAGCCACGAAACGTGTGAGGGGTGTGCCGAAATGGGTGTGGCTGACGCATGCGGGCGCGGGCACTGGGGCCTTCGGTGGAGCTCCCTATGGAGCCACGAAACGTGTGAGGGGTGTGCCGAAATGGGTGTGGCTGACGCATGCGGGCGCGGGCACTGGGGCCTTCGGTGGAGCTCCCTATGGAGCCACGAAACGTGTGAGGGGTGTGCGTCACGCATGCGGGCGCGGGCACTGGGGCCTTCGGTGGAGCTCCCTATGGAGCCACGAAACGTGTGAGGGGTGTGCCGAATGGGTGTGGCTGACGCATGCGGGCGCGGGCACGAGGGAGGAGGGGGAAGAGGAGGAGAGGAGAGGAGAGGAGAGGAACGTGGGGCACCGTCTCTTCAAAACGAGGACCCAACACCACAGGATGGTTGGGAAATAGTTCAACACTTGCCTGGGGCCGATTTTTCCCCTATCCTGGATATCGGATGCGTATTACGTGTTGGTTATGGTGTCCTCCTTCCAGAATCCGCCTGTCGGGGGACATGCCCGACCTAACGCGGGCAGCCGAGGTCCCCGGCGGGCGGGCGGCAGTCGCAGCCGTGGGTCCGCCCGGGGGGCGGCGGCGGCCGCGAGGACGCCCCGCTCGCCGCGGCCGTCCGCGGCCGCGCCCTCGGCGGCCGTCGGTGGCCCCTCGCGGCGGCCTTTGGCCTGCGAGTGGACGGCCGAAGGGCGGGTCCCATCGGCGGCGGGCGAGGGTCATGGTGTTCCAACCTACTAGTTTTGACCGCCAGAAAGAAGGAGTTTCGATCACCCAGAAAGTACCGAACCTGGAGGGTGTTCACGTCGTGTCGGGCCCTGGGAGGCGAGACTCTTTCGACACTATTTCGATACTCTTGTCTGGGTGATCGACATTATTTCTGGGAGGTGTTTTTCAAGTGCGATGGGGGCAGCAGAAATTGTATGGTCAATTCGTGTGTTGTTCCTCTACCTCTGGGGCGCAGTTTCGTGCGAGCGGCTCCCTGAATGCGCCGCGGGTGGCGTCAGTTGGTCGTTTCGTGTTGGGGGGCGACGAATAGTGGGCTCGAACTTATTTCTGGGATGTTGTCCTTTTACTGCGATGGGAACCACATAAAGCGAGGAGGGGGCATGACTTTCGAGGGTCCGCCATTGGTGCAGCCGAAGCAGCCGAAGGGCGGGCCCCTCCTCCGCGGCGCGCGAGGGGGAGTTCCTGGATCTGCGCTTGCTCCTGCCCCCCTGGCAGCGCATCCTGCGCCGCCCCTGTTTTTGTTTCCCCCACTGTACTTGAGGACCACATCCCAGAAAGAACGTCGAGCACCCAGAAACGTGTCGAAGCAGTGTGGAACGATTATCGCCTCCTAGGTCCCGACACGTGAAAGCCCTTCAGTTTCGGTATTTCTTTGGTGCTCGAAATTCTTTCTGGTGGTCAGTGTTCCCGAAACATCATTAACCCTGGCGCCGATCCAAACAATCCGCGCGGGCCCCCGAAAGTCCAGGCTGATGCAGCGCTTCTTCCTCTGTCCTCCCCTCCTCTTTCCCGCTGTGACTCGGTGGCGCGCGCGGGGGGGCGAAGCGAGAAGGCCTGCTCTTTCTCAGAAGACGGCGGGACTTCGCAGAGGCCCTCTGGCCTTCGGAGCAGTCTTCCGAGTCGTCGGGGAGGGCTCGGACAACTTCCCAGGAAGGCCGAGGGACTTCCGAGCCCTCTGAGAAGGCCCACCCTCAAGCAATGGCGAAGCGTCCTGGCTCGCCTATAGTCCTAGCAAACAATGTTCTAAGAATCTTGCGTGGTTCCCTCGAAATGTTCTTAGAACGTTTCTAGTTGGGACTGTCTTGTTTCAACACATCGGGTTTGTGTTCTAAGAAACTGTTTTTGTTCTTAGAGCAGTTCTGGATTATAAGAGCATTTCGTGGTAGGACTATAGGAATGCCGGGACGGTCGGTCCCTGCTCAAAACACTCCGTCTCACTTCCAACCCGGGCTCGGCGCCGACCCCCCCCCCTTCTTCTCGAGGTGCCGGCGTTGCTGTCGGGCCCCACAGGGCCCTCGCGTCGCGACCAAGGGTCACGACACACAGGGCTTTTTCCTTAAGTCGGGCCTGTCCCTCTATCTACAGGGGGAAAATTCAAAAATAGTCATCAAATAATTTGTAGACGATGTTTTGACTATTCTTGAGCATTTTTGGAATATTTTCTGAGTATTTCTAATTTTTCCCCCAAAGCCCTCCTGTAGGGGGACAGGCGCGACTTAAACCAAGGGTCACGACACACAGGGCTTGGCCATGTTCTGCCTCGGGGGGCCCCCGCCCGTCCACGGGACCATTGAGCAGCCGGTCCTGAAAAACGGGTCGAGAGATCCGAGAGAGGGCGGCCCCTCCCCCGAGGTCCTGGCGTCGTCATGTTGCTCAGGCCCAGCAGTCTCGCCCCGCTTCAGTTGGGCCCCTGGGCCATCGCGGATCCATTTGGCTCGAGCATTGCCGCAGAAAGAGTGGGTCAGCCCAGGTCATTGGACACAAGGTGCTTTCGTCGCGATCGGTAGCGACCGGTCGGCACGCTAAATCGGTCGCGGCCGATCCTGGAATTTCGTGGCCGATCTCGTCGGTGTCAGCCATGTCCGGATCGTTTCAATGCGGGGTCCCCAGAAGTCCCGACCTTTGCCCCCGATTTGGCTTTTCATCTTGAGTCGTTGTTTGACGGTCCCCAGACCCGGTAAAGGGCCCCAAGCGGCAAGTGACAAGGGTAGGGCTCGTGTCGGGACGTTCACGTCGTCGGATCTCGGGAGGGAAACACTTGGGGAGCTATTCGATCGCACCCCGATCGAGCAGGGCTGGACCTAAACGCTGTGTTGCTGGACTTCGGCTGTGTATTGTTTTTCGTTTTGGCAGGGAGGTACAGGAGGACAGGTAGAGCAAAACAAACAACGAAACGACACCAAAACGAAGCACAGCGTGTAGGTCCAGCCCTGCCATCGAGGATGGACGCCCCACCCGTCGTACATCCGGGGTACATCCCCGAGTGGGGCGCCAACTGCTGTTTCCAACACCAAAAAAAACTAAAAGCTTAGGATTTGGGCCGTCATACCCCCCGCCAGTGGGGTCCATGGCTCGGGTCGGATCTTCACGAAGTTGCCAGTTTTTCATTCCAGGCCTCCCAGGTGGGGTCGGAGGATCGCGACGCATCGCCGATGCATCGGCGATGCGGTTCGATGTGGAGCCCGATGTTCTTCACGCCGACGTCGCTCATGTATCGCCGATAAATCGCCGACGCGGCGCAATCCTTCGACCCCATCTACTCGGACTTCATCTCCGCCACAAAGGAATCCACAGACACCCTCCGATGGATGGTTCCTGGGCGTTAGGGGAGGGTGGCGCTGTCTAAATAAACATTGAGGGCCAGCGACTTTGCACACCGCCGCCCTCCCCGTGTGGGGCCTCCTGGGAGGCCCTCGTCGCCACCGCTGGCTTCGCCCCGGAATTCTGGTCAGTTCGCACCTGGGGACATGTGCGGGGACAAGAGGTATCAGAAGTTTTTGGTTTTTCCAGGTGCGACATGTTCGCGCCGTGTCGTCGCGCCGACGACCCCAGGGCGGGCGTTCAAGGTTGAATGCCGCCAGTGGCCAGGCGGTCAGGGGCAACGTCAAGAGGCGATCGGCTCAGGGGGGGATGCACCCGCCCCAAATCGGCCATTCATCGCCGCTAGGGTGCCCGATAGTCCACACCCGCCAAGGAGCGTACGGATTTGCGATCGGGGGCCTATCGCCGATCTATCGGCGATGCGTCGCCGATTGCAAGTCGATGTTCCGGTCCCCCCCCCCCGGAGCCGTTCCCCCTAACTTTACTCCTCGTGAGTGCCGCCAGTGGTCACGAGTGGACCGACGTTGAGCGATCCTCCAATTCGGAATGCCAGGACTACCCACGCAGTGTTCGCGCGGCGGGTCCAAGCGGCGTTAGCACAGACTTGGACGATCCACGCGGTGTTGGTTTGGACGATGCGCTGGTTCCTGACACCGCGCGGATTGTCCAAGCCCGTGCAGTCGCGGTCGTTTCTGGGCCACTGGCGACATTCAACCTGGAACGCCCGCGCTGCGGTCGCTGGCGCGTCGCCGCGATGCGAGCGTGCCGTAGCCCACCTCGTGCACGCGGGGTGGGTGGCACGGCTGCCGGCCGTTCTCGCCCGCAGCCTGTGCCCTGAGTAAGGAAACGAAGAACGACATAAACATAAAAATTCGGAAGTCCGCGCGGATTGCTCGGATCCGCGCTGAGCCCCCCTGGGACGGCGCCGATCCGGCCTCCTGCAGGAGGGTCGGGTCGGACGAGATCTTGACCTCCCAGGTGGATTCAGAGCAGACGGGGTCGGAGGATCGCGCCGCATCGCCGATGGATGCATCGGCGATGCCGATCGATGTGGAGCCCGATGTTCTCCACGCCGACGTCGCCGATGCATCGCCGATGCATCGCATGGGGCATCGACGACGCGGTGCGATCCTCCGACCCCACGAGTCTGACTCCATCTGGGATGCCTCTGAGGAGGCTCGGGTCGGCGCCTCCCCGCGGGGGCCGACTTCCTCCTTCTCCTACTCCTCCTCCTCCTCCTCCTTCTCCTCCCCCTCCCCCTTCTTCTCCTCCACCTCCTCCTCCTCCCCCTCCTCCCCCTCCTCCCCCTCCCCCTCCTCCCCCTCCTCCTCTATCGGGGGATGGGGCAGGGGTGTGCCGAGCACTGCTGCACGCGGCGGACTGCGGTCTCCGCCGCAGGGCGCCTCCCTCGATGCGTGGGCGTCTCCGACGCCGGCAGGCGCCGGGAAGACCAAACTGGGTGCAGTTGCCAAGCGGGCCACGCATCGCTCGAGAACGATGTGCTGCGCTCTCAGAGCGCTCCGGAGCCCCCGGAGCGGCCGCGGCGCCCGATACCTCTGGCGGACGCGGTTGGTTCTCAGAGATCCCCAATCTAGTTACCGTCCAGATTGCTTTCCGTCCTGGCCTCGTCTGAAGCTGATCCGCCAATCCTCCGCTTGCTAGTGCGACCATGCAGCTCAGGAGTGCGCACGGGGGAATGCGCCCCACTCGGAAGGGGACGACTGGACTCGTAGGTTGACAGACCTCCTACCCTGACACGTCGATTTAGCGAATTGGCCGTTTTCGGTTTGCGAGAGGGCGTCGCGGCCGTCATTTTTGCAGGTCCAGGTCCGTCGGTTTCGCTCCTAGGCCGTTTTCACTAATGGGTGGTTTACTAAAGGGACGTTTGTCCACCGGCGATAAATAGATCAAAGTGAGGGGGCCGAACGGCCGTTCACTGCCGATGGTGCGCGACTATGTGGGCCCCAATCGATGCCGGCAAGACTGAGTGCCCTTGCGTTATGGTGCTGCCCATATCGTGATGGCCCGCCTTCCTGGAGGTCTGGCCCTCCAGACGCTGTGCTCGCAGCTCGGGGGGCCTGCGGCTACGCTGCCGTGGTTCCCCTCCCCTCCCCCGATTTCTGCACGACACGGTGTTCGAGACGGGCAAGGGCGAGGACTCTTTCCCAGTCCCGCTATTTCTCACCCCATCCTAGAGTGTAGGCCACGAACCCAAGCCTTTAGGGAGCGAGCGAGCGAGCGAGCGAGGAGGAGGAGGAGGCGGAGGAGGAGGACCACGAGGAGGGGGAGCGGGGGCGCCCCGCAGGAGGGGCCCAGCCGGCGCCACGGCGGACCGCCCGAGAGGCGCCCGGGCATCCCTGCGGCCGCCTGCCCTGCGGGGGCCCTGGAAGCGACAGGGCCATGTTTTGTTGCGTCACGGGCTCCGCTCTGCCTTGGTACAGTCAGCTCGCATAGTAAGGATGGGCAACCTTCGGGAGCGGCAAAGAGGAGGGGGATGACTAGGGGGGGGGGGATATCATGGCGTGGGCCATGATATTTCCCCAGATTTCATGGCGCCTCTTCTTATTCCATTACGTCCCTGCATATCATGGCGTGGGCCATGATATTTCCCCAGATTTCATGGCGCCTCTTCTTATTCCATTACGTCCCTGGCCCCCCCCCCCTGGGCCGCGCACATGCCGCCGGTCATGATTTGCACCCCCCCCTCTTGGACACCCCCCTCTTGGCCGCTCCCGACATAACCTCATGCCCGTGAGAATAAACACTAGGAGATAATAAAGTTCGGGGTTCAGGGAGAGATAATACAAGTAGCCCAGCAGACCTCAGCATAATCTCGAAGTAAGAGATGATCAAGAGGAGACCAAGCCGAGCACGTTTTGAGACATCCTTGGCGTTTAGTTTTCATAGAAATATCCTCAACAATGGCTTATCTCGCTGGAGACATCCTCGACAAATCCCTTGTTTCGCTTGAGACATCCGCAAACTATTGCTTATTTCGCTTGAGACACAGTCAAACTATTGCTTATTTCGCTTGAGACATCCTCGAAATAATTGTGTTTTCGCTTGTGCATCCTCGAATAATTTGTGCTCGGAGGAGGAGAAGGACGAAGAGAAGAAATTATCCTGGCGAAAGACCCAACCATAAGCAATTGTTGGTAACGCGTTGTGGGTGCCGCTTTCGGTGGGGCTCCATATGGGGCCACGAAGCGCTGCCTTGGATGGGGGAACCGCATGCGGACTGCGCCACCGGGGCGGGCCTTCGGTGGAGCTCCCTATGGGGCTACGAAACGCTGCCCTGGGTGGGGGAACCGCATGCGAACTGCGCCACTGGGGCCTTCGGTGGAGCTCCCTATGGTGCCACGAAACGCTGCCCTGGGTGGGGGAAGCGCATGCGAACACCGCCACTGGGGCCTTCGGTGGAGCTCCCTATGGGGCCACGAAGCGCTGCCCTGGGTGGGGGAACCGCATGCGAACACCCCCACTGGGGCCTTCGGTGGAGCTCCCTATGGGGCCACGAAACGCTGCCCTGGGTGGGGGAACCGCATGCGAACACCCCCACTGGGGCGATGGAGGAGCTCCCTATGGGGCTACGAAACGCTGCCCTGGGTGGGGGAACCGCATGCGAACACCCCCACTGGGGCCTTCGGTGGAGCTCCCTATGGGGCCACGAAACGCTGCCCTGGGTGGGGGAACCGCATGCGAACACCCCCACTGGGGCCTTCGGTGGAGCTCCCTATGGGGCTACGAAACGCTGCCCTGGGTGGGGGAACCGCATGCGAACACCCCCACTGGGGCCTTCGGTGGAGCTCCCTATGGGGCCACGAAACGCTGCCCTGGGTGGGGGAACCGCATGCGAACACCCCCACTGGGGCCTTCGGTGGAGCTCCCTATGGGGCCACGAAACGCTGCCCTGGGTGGGGGAACCGCATGCGAACACCCCCACTGGGGCCTTCGGTGGAGCTCCCTATGGGGCTACGAAACGCTGCCCTGGGTGGGGGAACCGCATGCGAACACCCCCACTGGGGCCTTCGGTGGAGCTCCCTATGGGGCCACGAAACGCTGCCCTGGGTGGGGGAACCGCATGCGAACACCCCCACTGGGGCCTTCGGTGGAGCTCCCTATGGGGCCACGAAACGCTGCCCTGGGTGGGGGAACCGCATGCGAACACCCCCACTGGGGCCTTCGGTGGAGCTCCCTATGGGGCTACGAAACGCTGCCCTGGGTGGGGGAACCGCATGCGAACACCCCCACTGGGGCCTTCGGTGGAGCTCCCTATGGGGCCACGAAACGCTGCCCTGGGTGGGGGAACCGCATGCGAACACCCCCACTGGGGCCTTCGGTGGAGCTCCCTATGGGGCTACGAAACGCTGCCCTGGGTGGGGGAACCGCATGCGAACACCCCCACTGGGGCCTTCGGTGGAGCTCCCTATGGGGCCACGAAACGCTGCCCTGGGTGGGGGAACCGCATGCGAACACCCCCACTGGGGCCTTCGGTGGAGCTCCCTATGGGGCTACGAAACGCTGCCCTGGGTGGGGGAACCGCATGCGAACACCCCCACTGGGGCCTTCGGTGGAGCTCCCTATGGGGCCACGAAACGCTGCCCTGGGTGGGGGAACCGCATGCGAACACCCCCACTGGGGCCTTCGGTGGAGCTCCCTATGGGGCTACGAAACGCTGCCCTGGGTGGGGGAACCGCATGCGAACACCCCCACTGGGGCCTTCGGTGGAGCTCCCTATGGGGCCACGAAACGCTGCCCTGGGTGGGGGAACCGCATGCGAACACCCCCACTGGGGCCTTCGGTGGAGCTCCCTATGGGGCCACGAAACGCTGCCCTGGGTGGGGGAACCGCATGCGAACACCCCCACTGGGGCCTTCGGTGGAGCTCCCTATGGGGCCACGAAACGCTGCCCTGGGTGGGGGAACCGCATGCACCCCCACTGGGGCCTTCGGTGGAGCTCCCTATGGGGCCACGAAACGCTGCCCTGGGTGGGGGAACCGCATGCGAACACCCCCACTGGGCCTTCGGTGGAGCTCCCTATGGGGCTACGAAACGCGTGAGAGGTGTGCCGAGAGCAGAGGCAAGGAGGGGGAGGAGGAGGAGGAGAGGAGAGGAACGCGGGGCACCGTCTCTTCAAAACGAGGACCCAACACCACAGGATGGTTGGGAAAAAAATCGAGTTTCAAATCTATAAGATGTTATTTACAAGCGCTTTATGAACATTGTTTTTTGTAAGTGCTCGTGTAGGGTAGCTCATGTGCCTCAATTTCCATGGATAGTCAACCCCAGAGATAAAAAGTTCAGGTGAGCGTGGGGACAGAGAGAAATATAAAAGAAGAAGAATACAGTAGAAGAATAATAAGAAAGAAGAAGAAGAGGAGAATAAGAAGATCACGAAGAAAGGAACACTCCAACGTTCCAAATCTATCAATTTTAATTCACAAACGCTTTATGAAAATTGATGTTTTTAAGTGCTCGTGTAGGGTAGCTCAGGTGCTTCATTTTCCATGGATAATCAACCCCAGGGATAAAAAAGTTCAGGCGAGCGTGAGGACATATAGAAATATAGAAGAAGAAGAGGAAAGTATAATAATAATAAGAAGAGAAGAAGAAGAGAAAAAGAAGAAGAGAAGAAGAACGAACAAATGGAAAGTTCCAAATCTATCAATTTTAATTTACAAACGCTTTATGAAAATTGATTTTTTAAGTGCTCATGTAGGGTAGCTCATGTGCTCCCCTTCCCATGGATAATCAACCCCAGAGATAAAAAAGTTCAGGCGCGCGCGGGGATAGATACACATATAAAAAGGAAGATAATAAAAAATATAAATAAAAAGAAACAACTTGCTGGTTTAGCTTGAAACATCCTTGAGACATCCTTGGAACATTGCTCGTTTCGTTTGAGTCTGCCTCCCAAAATTTTTGGTTTCGCTTGAGACATCCTTGAAACATTGCTCGTTTCGTTTGAGTCTGCCTCCCAAAATTTTCGGTTTCGCTTGAGACATCCTTGAAACATTGCTCGTTTCGTTTGAGCCTGCCTCCGAAAATTTTTGGTTTCGCTTGAGACATCCTTGAAACATTGCTCGTTTCGTTTGAGTCTGCCTCCCAAAATTATTGGTTTCGCTTGACACATCCTGAAAAAGTGTGATCGCTTCACTTGATGTTGCTATATCAACATCGCTTGATGTTGCTATCTCAACATAGCGTTTCCAGGTGATAATGAAGTTCGGCCTCAGCGCTCGCCGCCCAATTTGAATTTTGTATAGGGCGACGATAATCAACTCTGAACACTGAAGGGGGGGGGTCCCTTTATTATCATCGGCATGCGGTTAGTAAGGATGGGCAAGCTTCCCAAGGGTATCCTTGCATCCTTGCCTCCTCGGTCTATCCTTGGCCGCTTCAGCTGGCCAACCTCGTTCGAAAAACGTTCACGTGGCACTCCAAGGCCCTTGCATCCTTACCGCGCATCCTTATTGTACGGGCTGACTGTATCGGTCGGACGTGTGCATTTTTTCTCGGCGGGGATTATTCAGGAGCACCCTGGATCATCCTGCGAAGAAAACCGCGCACGAAACCGAAAAAAACACAGGGAATGGACGTCTGAGCGATGGCCAGTTGCCGTTCTCTTTTTTTGCTGCTGGGTCCGACGCCATTCTTGGTCACCGGTCTCGTCGCCGTGTTTGTTACTGGTTCTGGCTCCGGCTCGAATCCCGGAGCCGTTTTTGTGACCGGTTTCGCCGTCGTTTCTGTCAACGGTTCCGGCTCCGGCTCGAGTCCCGAAGCCGTTTTTGTCGTCGTTCCGGGTCGTTTTTTTTGTACCGTCCCCATTTTCAATAGATATTAATGTTTCGGAAATTGAGCAGAAGCGGCCTTGCCGTTTTCTGGGGCCCGGTCAGCGCTTGCCCCCCCAGGGTCAGTTCGGCCCGATGTCTGTCAGGAGGGGAAAAACACACAGACACAATGAATCGTCGATTCCTCAGAAAATATAAAAAGTATGGGAAGCGGGGGGGAAGACAGAAACCCAGAAAAGATTGATAAGTTTGGGGAATCCTGTTATTTGTGTGTATTCATTGGTGTGTCCCAGGGCCCCTTCAGTCTGGAGGATCGAGAGGGTCCAGCAGTGGCGAGGCGTCCTGGCGCTGCACCTGTCTATGCGACATGTTCTTCTCGAACTTTCCTGGCTGAAAGGCTGCGCTGTGTCAGCAGATCTGCTCTATGCTTTCAGGTCATGTGTGGTCATAGGGCACTTCTTCGTGCAAAGAAGACATCGTGGTAGGCCCGCAGGATTGCCGGGCCGGTCGGTCACTGCTCCAAATGAGGCCGCGTTTTGATGAAGAACAGCT